CGAGGCGTGGCCCTCGCTCGCCACACGACTTGAGCCAACAGAAACGCTAGAGTGACCGCGGGCAGGACAAGAGCGCAGAGCCCAGCCCAGCGGGTACCAGGCCGGGTAGTACCGCCAGACCGAGCTGCACGACTGGTCTGGTCTGACCCCGAAGAGGTAGTGGCAGTGGTACCAACTGCAAGAAGTACACTCCGACAAATGAGCAGCTGCGAAACGCACGCAGAGAACCCACTTCCTCGAGCACACACACACACAGCCCACAACTCAAGGCGAGGCGCGCGTACCACCCCGCCTCGCCACACCCGGGTATCAAAAGGTCACACATATCCATAAGGCTCTCGCGTTGCGAACATAACCGCATTGTCAGCGTGGCGAAAAGATAAAACGCAATATAAGTAGTCCTGAGAGGGGGGCGCGGGGGGCAAGCCGGGAGCTCTATCCAAAGGGGAACGAGACACGGCGCGTCTGAGCAAACGCACGCACGCAGGCACAGAGCGTGTGGACATTACAGCAGTGCACGCAAGTTGCCCAACGGAACGCATACGGCGACGCCCGGGTCCGTAAGCACACACACACAAACTTACGCACACCTACGCACGAAAAACACAAAAATGGCACCACAACACACACACACACAGAAGTGAACACAACACGCACGCACAAGCAAGCACGGCACATACACGTCCTGATAAGGCGTACACTACACACCGGACACACCACAGTAACAATGCCCGTCCCGATAACGCGCTCACACACACACACACACACACACAGCGTCACAATGTGACCATTCATCAATGCGACATGCACTACTGCAACCACCACAACTACTAGACACTTCACGCATGTGTGTGTGTGTGTGTGTGTTTCGCAAAAAAAAAAAGTGAGCGAGAAACATACGCCTCACGCACAGCAGACGTGCAGGACGAAAGAGGTTCTACCCGACGAACGTCATTTTTATATTACTTTGTAATATAAATTGCGCCATAATATGCAGCAGCACGTGGACAAGCGTGTCTACGAACACACGCGCGTGTGTGCGTGTGTGTGTGTGTGTGTGTGTGTGTGTGTGTGGAGAGGGGAGAGCGTCACCGAGGCAGGTGTTTAGGGTGCTGCCACCCCCCCACCCCTCACCCTGCTCGCGCCGGCAGCAAGGCCCTCTCTGCAAGCCACCTGCCACGCCTCATCACGCAAGTCTCTCTCTCCCTCTCTCTCTTTCTCTGTCTCTTGAACACACACACATGTACGCACACACACGCATGGATTCGCTGAAACAGTCCCACCACACTGCTTTTGGTGTCAGGCGTATTGGTTTCGTCCTACTGCCACCACCCTTATGTTATTATTCTTTACATATTCTTCTTTCACGAAAAGGAAAAACATCGCGGACGAAAAAAAAGGAGAAGAGGATTTAGAAACAGAATCCTCCCCGC